CAACGTCGAAGTGTGTAAACATCAATTCCGCGATGGCACTTTACGACTCTGCTGACGATGGCGACTTTTTGCCTCTGTTTTGCGCCTTTGTTCGGGGATTTCCGAGTGTATTGATCCCTTGGAAAGAAGTACAGTGGTTAAAAGGGAAATGTTCTTTCAAAAATATTCTGTTATTGTTATTCAGGGCTGTAAGTTTTGAAGAAGATACTGTAGTAAGACGAAGCTTTTCGGATTCGTCGTGCCCCAGAACTCCAGAAGCATTCCGAACCACCAACCAATTTCATTACAGTACCTCCTCTTGGGTACTCCCAAGTTTAAATAAAGAAGATGGGGATCGATTTGTGGGTGATTATCAAAGAATTTATCATGGCGGATTTGTGAAAATCAATCAAAAGCTTGCTGCCATGGCAATCAAATGGAGCAAGGAGAAAATGAGCAGACAACTTTCAGATAAGGTGAACACGGCGTCACCGGTTTCCGTGATTATTTGATCTAACTTGACGAAACTATTTTAATGAATTTAATTATCTTATATCATGATGGACCCAGATGGGATACACTTACTGCTGGCACTGATGAACTTCCAATTTCTTTTTTATGAAAATCAAGAATATTATGTGAATGAGAAAATTTCATGATCCCACATGTGAGATCCATCATGTCATTGACCAATGTTTGGAAAGAATGGTCTTCAAAGAAACTTCAAAATCGTCTAGATATTTTTTTTCGATTTCAAGAAAACAGGGGTGACTTTTAAAGCAATTCTTGATTACAAGTCATTTTATTGCACTACTAATCATTCGATTTTTGAGATCATTTTAATTTTTCGACATCAAGTGCTATGAAATCAGGAGACTGCTTGAGATTTTTGAAGCAAATGCTTTCCCATTTCATGATCAAGTGAAAGTTTGAATTCAATGCATTATCAATTTGCTGTTGATGTAGTGATGACCTTGACGTGGAATTCGTTCACTTTCAAATATTTCTTAATTGTTTTTACGCAATTGTTTGACTATTCGACCTGTAACGTAACGTTTTCCGTCACCAAAGCTGCTTGAAGTTTAAATTCGTAGGTGATCTTCTTTCATTTCTTTCAGATTTAATGTAATGCATAATTTTCTTCTGATTTTGGCGTGAGAAGATCGTAGTAGGTAAAACTGCTGCTGAGCTTCTGTTGAAACTGCGACATGCGTGACTCATTTTCACAAACGCCCGACTTCCCTTCATGTCTGCAGGAAAAATTACGAGGTTGTCAAGGCCTGGAGAAACATAATGAAGAAGAATGTTGGAAAACAGGATGGCAGAAAAGGGGGGTTTTATCCCGGGCATAAAGTGTACCTCTTTGCGCGTCCCGTCGAGAATAAATTGAGGGGTTAAAGTTCCAAGCCGCGTGCGTTCCCCAGAGAGGCTGCAATAAGTGCCAAGTTTTTCACGAACGTTGTGGTCTGGTGCAAACTTTGTTTCAAACGAAAAGGTGAGATATGGTTCTGTGGGTCTCGATTCCAAGTCACCTGGGCTAGGCGAACTCCACAATACCGTGACAACGGTTCGGGTTTGATCTTCGATCCGTCTAAACCTGTTATGAAAACTCGCATTCGTTTCTATCCGCAGTCTGTGTTTCGGGGAAAGTGGTACGTTTAAACATGAAGAAAAAGAAAAATCAGCCCATTATTTGCGATAGGGAATCCGTCAAAATCCGGAGGGCACGGAACCGTATGAAGTGACGAAAGTCTTACAATGAATACAATCATCGTTTTGAATCATTCCCGGACGAGAGTATTTGTTCATCTTCTGGAATATTTTTAATAATGCAGCTTACTGAGCTTTTTTCTGCCGCTGGTTGCCTGAGGCTTTTTTGACCTCAATACCTTTGAAGATTTGACGCCACTTTTAGCTTCTTGGTCGAATGAGTTTGAGGACTAAGTGACAGTCAGTTCGTCGTTCCGAAATTACCGTATTGTATCCGTATTAGACTATATTTTTTCTGAAGAAAAAGCATTCAAAAATGGGTGCGGCCTATTCTTCAAAAACGTTAGTTGACTCTGGAGGCATTTCGCAACCGTTGTTCCAACGTCAATTACGTACTGCCGAGAAAACGAAACATTTTTAAAGCATGCGAATTTCTTGTGTCCCGAAAATTGGCATACTTTATTTTGCTACTACTGTATAGAGGAACCATGTTATAATTCGGTTTTAGAACTTGTTTTTCCTGCATACAGTTTTGTTCCCTGAAACAATTTTCTTTCGTCAAATCACTGCACGAAATCAGTATTCGTCATGTAATCGGGGAAATATGGACATTTCATTTACGTTGGAAAAATGTATCCTGAAAGTGGAAATTCGAAATTCAACTTAAATATATAAATAAGGTTTCACTTTTTCATAAGACGACGCCCTTTTTAACTTTACACTTAGAGGAGTCGAATGAAACACTATACGTTCACGAACACTACGAATAAAGTTACGAAGACTTTAAATAATAAAACCAAAATTCGTTGCGCCCATGTGCATGACTTGATTAATGTCAAAATACCGTTGTATTCCCCCTTTATTTGCGCAGAAGTTGCTCCTTGCTGCTGAGCTGCATCCATTCCACGAATTTGAATCCAGAAAGCAATCAACTCTCAACCACCAATCATTTATGGCTTAAAAAGTACTTCCAGAACTAATTATTGCCTTTGAAAGTTTCAAGGAAAACAGCAGCCAGTCTCAGAAAGTTGGGTGCTGACATCATGACATGGTTTCTGACTATGATGGGGAAATTTCGGCAAGCCCTCGGTCGCTGATGATTGTGGAAACTCGGCAAAATTTTCGTGAACCGGAATCCGGTGTTTTCGCGCGGATGGCGGCTTGAAAATAGCTAAAATAATGGGGTAGACGTCATTTCCTGCTCCGAGTTGAACCTCGTGTTTGATCCATATCCATTTCACTTCCGTTCCTGGTTCACCCCCTTTCCGGTCTTCATTACTCTACAAAGGTAGCTTATTACCGCTTAGGGAAGTCACTAAAACTGAAATGACTTATCAAGACTTCCACCTGCATAATACCGGCCAACTTGGACCTGATCAAACTATATTCTTAAACGGAAACTTTCGTGAGAGCGACGGAAACTCTCGGGCAATTTAGCACGGTTTTGGTTCATGAGCTAGTAAAAGCAAGAAATATTCTGAATCGAGGTATTCGAAACCCGTGTTCCGTATTGTAATTCCGCAGAAATACAACGATCAGCAAAATACAGTACGAAGGTTGGTGAAAATTTTCTTTTGTAATTTTTTTGCTTTTTGGATGCTGTCTTGGATATGCGTATTATATATACTTTTCTGAAAATAATGCCATTTTCTACTTACGTTCTGTTCAGTTTTTTTCTCAAATACATAAAAAGTTAGAGGAAAAACTCTCGACTTTCCCTTAGGCTATCAACCCTCCTTTAATCTAAGTGAACGATCAACGATGGCCGTACAAAAACGCCTACCAAGTTCACGATAAAGGCTAAACTTTTCTAACTTTAGGACAGTTGTCCAGTCAGGTTTGACAACGATATTGTACTGAGAAAAGCTTCTTGCCAATGTTTTCGTTGGTGAGACGAAATTCTTTGAAAAATAACCATCTAAAGTAGCTGTCTCGAAGTGTGACACGCGTGTGATTCAACGCATAGAATTTGAATTTCTATTAGTTTTTAATTCATGGAAATTTACATCGCGGTTGTTTCTCAGTTTATTAACTAGTTTTGTGTCATTTCATAGTTGCATTCTCCTTTGATGTACAGTATTTGATGTTTCATGTATTTAGCTATTATTATTATTATTATTATTCTTATTATTATTATTTCGTTTTCTGAAATGAAACTCAAAAAAGAATAGTTCAAACTGGTTCTTTTCGTTTTCAGGATGTAAGCGCTTATTTTTTTGTTCGCTTGTATGAGCAAAAAGCGCCCAAAATAACGAACTCATGCAAAAAACTCGCGTCTGAAAACATGAGTTTAGTATCTGATTTATTTTCCCACAGAAAAAACGTAGTATATGCCCTGTTGAAAATAACAGGTTCGAAAGAATTTAAACCTTTTTTAAACGCTGTCAAAGTTGAAATATTGTCCTGTTTTACCACATAAATTTCCAAGAGAATTTTCAGTTAGAGAGCTGAAAGGGAATCCGATAGTTGGGAGGAAATTAGATTCACTTGCTAGTTGCTACCGGCATGTTTTTGCGGATGGTTCAAGTGCTATTTCCGATTTGAAAAGATTGAAATCCTGTCAACAGGTATCAGGTTTGACAACGATATTGTACTGAGAAAAGCTTCTTGCCAATGTTTTCGTTGATGAGACGAAATTCTTTGAAAAATAACCATTTAAAGTAGCTGTCTCGAAGTGTGACACGAGTGTGATTCAACGCATACAATTTGAATTTCTAATAATTTTTAATTCATGGAAATTTACATCGCGGCTGTTTCTCAGTTTATTAAATAGTTTTGTGTCATTTCATAGTTGCATTCTCCTTTGATCTACAGTATTTGATGTTTCATGTATTTAGCTATTATTATTATTATTATTACAGTATTATCTTTTCGTTTTCTGAAATGAAACCCAGAAAAGAATAGTTCAAACTGGTTCTTTTCGTTTTCAGGATGTAAGCGCTTATTTTTTTGTTCGCTTGTATGAGCAAAAAGCGCCCAAAATAACGAACTCATGCAAAAAACTCGCGTCTGAAAAAATGAGTTTAGTATCTGATTTATTTTCCCAGAGAAAAAACGTAGTATATGCCCTGTTGAAAATAACAGGTTCGAAAGAATTTAAACCTTTTTTAAACGCTGTCAAAGTTGAAATATTGTCCTGTTTTACCACATAAATTTCCAAGAGAATTTTCAGTTAAGAAAAAACGTAGTATATGCCCTGTTGAAAATAACAGGTTCGAAAGAATTTAAACCTTTTTTAAACGCTGTCAAAGTTGAAATATTGTCCTGTTTTACCACATAAATTTCCAAGAGAATTTTCGGTTCAAATCGTCTTCTTTGTCATTTTATTACAGGATCGGATGAAGTGAGTCCAATGTGTTGTGCACGAACGGGGTCACACAACATGCGCTGTACTCCCTTGCGCGTTCCCCGTAGGTCTTCCAATAACCCGTGCAATGACACCACCAGAACATTCCAACAACTGTGAGGAAAATAATTACATAGCCAACACAGAAATGTGAGTCTTCCCGTGAAGCCGATCCAGGAAACTAGAAAAAAACGAGACGAAAATTCAGAGGATGGCTGGCGAATTTCAGCGAGACAGCGTCAACCACGTGCCATCCTGAGGCATCGCGTGGATTAGATCCCTATCCGTGGGGAACCGGGATCAGCGACGCAGACATTATAATCAACACCCGATACCTATCCTCCTAACAACAGCAACAAAAATTGAAAGAAAATCAGCGAATAGAGCTTGCGGATTTATTAGCAAAACCCTCGAGTGAATTTGAGGTGGGATAGTTGTCAGTACGGCAAATGGCGTCGGTGAGGATGCGTAGCTGTCGCTCGGACTGATTCGATGGTCGTGCTCGGGGTGTTGAGCAGGAAGGCAGAATTCTGCTGCTGGAGTCACAGCTGGTCTCAGGTTTAGTTGCCAGCGCAGTGAAAGGAAAACCGGAAACAAAAAGGTCGGCAGGATGAGTTTGCTGTACATGAAGAGTTTCCGGGAGTCGGAAGGCAGTCGGAGGACCACCAAGACCGGCGGCTTTGGCAGCTCTCTGTTCTCCAAGAAGTTTTCCTCGTCCTCCTTGGGACAGAATCCGCATGCCCAGGCGCAGATGGCTGCTTCAGGATCAGCAATTTTGCAACAAGTGAGGCAAAATACTATATTTTTTTCTGTCCGGAATGTCAATTCCTTATAGAAAGGGATCAAGTACTGTAATTGTTCAGCCATCAGATTTCACGCGTGTTGTAAAGGAGTTGAAAGACTCATTATCTTTGGAATACCAAGAGGCATTTTTCTAAGTGCTGTTGCTATTGTCATTAAACTACAAACTGGCTGCTGACTGTTCTGTTTATCCTATTTAAAAAAAAGGATGGTGAGTCCATTATAATTTACAATAATATTATATTTTCACACAGACATGTTTTTACTGAGTCTCACACAGATACATGAAGTTGACAAACTAGTCAAACAAACACAACTAGTCAAGACTTCTGATGCAGCTGAAGTCTTCCCAAGAATCTGGATACAACCAAAGACCAAAGAAATATTGATTCTAAGCCAGTACAGGTGGTGCCCCACAATTCAACCCCAATCCCTTGCTGGACTAGGGTTGAATTGCAAAGCGGTCAAATTGCAAAGCAACATCAAGTCCAATGTTTTCTACATTGTATTTGATGTTTTTGCCCATCTCTGTGGGTTAAATTGCAGGGTCTAGGTTGAATTGAAAGTTGTCCTCCCAGCAAATGTGACCATCAAATTGCAGGAGGGTCAAATTGTGTAAGGTCAAATTGCAAGGTACTGTCTGTACTGTTTACTCAAATCTAAGGGACTTGCACAGATTCTGATGAGGGGGAATTAGAGCTAACATCAATGCACCAGAGACAGGGAAGCACCTGAATGTCTCTGAGGGGCCAGGAATGAGGGGATGCACATGTGCATACTATTGAGCAACACTGGGTGTAGGGCAACTGGCTTCCAAGAGGGGGTCATTGCTTCCCATGCACACATTAAGGTAAACAACATGAAGCACAGAAAGGAAAACAGGTAAGAATACTTCAGCTGAAACAAATGGGTTTACTACTGCAGAAGGTTAACTAAAATACAGTACAGTACAATGAGCAAGGAGTCTTGCTGAACACTTGTCATAACAGTTGATACAATATTTGTCAGAGCTGACCCCAATACTTGATGTCCTTTCAACCCTTTTACCACAGAGAGGGGATACTTTTGCAAAATTGTGTCCATGAGCACTAAAAATTAAAAAACGGAATATTTGAACCAAGACCTGAGTTGGGAAGAAGTTCATTAATTTGTTCTCTTCCAGTGGACAATTTTGGTTGAGAATATAAAAAATTCCTCTGGTGCTTTTCCCTGCATTCCTAGCATAAGATTAACATATGCTGGGAGATTCCTGAGAAAAGCAGGATTTACTCTTCCTGGATTTCTTCAAAACTTGGGCTTTGCAACCCAAAGGCATTTTGATGATTTTTTGGTCAAATGGCCAAAATGTCCTGTAGACCGAAAATAACCTTACTTGGCTGCCAGATGGAAAGTAACCCACAACCATCCCAGGGCTGAATGATTATTTTATTTGTTGCCTACAAAAGTTGTTTATAAAACATTTGTCTATGACCATGAAACAGAAGTCCATTAATGCTGATTTTTAAATTAAATTTAGGCCATTTTACCGCGTTTTTTTGGCGAAATAAAGTTTCTAATCTCATTGCGAAAATATTAGCGTATGTGTTTTGCTCCTTTGCGCACACAAATAATCTTCAATCGTTTCCAAGTTTTCCGAAACTTGATGGTTCTTGCATTGGACTGTACAGCACGTTGTCTCGTGAGTGAATGGTTGCGTTTATTGCGTCAACAGCTATTTCCTGCAGATCACCTCCGAAGTCATCTTGGTCTGCGTATGTCTCAATGGCGCAGTTTCACGCAAAACCGTAACTTTTGTTGCTGTTGTTGTTTCGTTCATGCTGGAATCTGGTTTTTCTGGAACAGAGTCAAGTCTCCGGAAGGCGTATTCTTATTTTTCATTTTCGACTCGTTGTTTTCTTATTATTCGTTCCTTCTCAGCAACAGCAGCTGACGACGCGGTGCGACTCGCCGCCGGGTTTCTTCGACGAGGAGTGCCCGCACCACGCGGTGAGCCGGGCGGAGTTGCGGGCGCGCACGTTCACGCCACGGGCGCGATCGCCGCAGTTCCACTCGTGCTGCGTTGTAGGGCGGACTTCGGCGCAGCTCAAACCGCAGAGTTCGTTGGTGACCGCGTCCGCCAACAAGATCAGATTCCTCGCGGCGGCGTCCCTGCGTCGCCGCCGCGACGACGACGACGACGACGACGACAACGACGGTGGTTACCGAGGAGGCGGTGGTGGTGGCGGCGGCAGCGCGGGTTTCAAGGATTTGAGGCACGCGTGCGACGACGACGAACGAGCCACCATGTTGCAGATGTACAATAATCAAAAGCATAAGGAGAAGGTGAGGAGATTGGCATTCGAGACTCTGGTGCTGGCGGCGATTTTCCGAGAGAGAAAAAAAAACTCTTGTGCGAATCAAGATATCTTTTTAATTTTAGAGGTATAGTTTTTTAAGAGTTGCTGATGAAGAAAAGTCCAGTGGGAGGAAAGACTCATTCTGCTCTCTGAATTCGGGAACGTTTTTTAAAATTGTTTTTAAAATGAAACGTGATTTATGGATTTTGGTTTCAATATATTTTTGTGGAGGAAAAAAGATTCGTTGTCTATTGCGGTTGTCGTAAATGTTTGTTTTTGTCTTCTTAGAGAAGCATCAGAACGAAATGGAAATGCGTCGAATTCGTTGTGAAAGAAGCATTAAGCATTTTTCAGTCTATTCAAACGGAAGTTATGTATTATTTTCTATTAATGAAGTGGGTTTCTTGAACCCCCCATGATAATCATTGGAAACGTTCAGAGAGAGTAAAAACATTCTGAATTTTTGATTGGAGAAAGTCCCGCATGAAAAGTTACATTTTTTTTTTTTGCGAAACAAGAGGATGCCCGGTCCTCAGATTTTCCAGCAAACGCAATGCAATGTTTCTTTTACTGCACCAACTGTTAACATAAGAACTTTTGAAGGTTCCAAGTAAGTTGAATGATGTAATTGATAAAGCCTTGGATCTGTACAGTGTAGGAAAATCATTTTCTAGTACAGTATCTACATAAGAAGAACTGATCAGTTTCTGGGAGCGTTCAGTTTTTTCTGCGGCAATCATTTGGAACCAAATCGTACTGAATCCTTTGAAATATTGTGCAGTTGAAGTTCGATAACTTGTACCTCCCTAATCCAAATACCTCCTAATGTTGAATTTATTTAAATCTTTGAATTCCGTTAGAAGCAATGCAGTAAGGCCGTCCTAACCCGAAGCTTTCTTTTTCAAACCTCTGTAACTCGGTATCTAGAGGATTTTTGGCTATTACTGTACTGTATTTTATTGACGCAGGTACGAGAAAGGCAGTAAAAATGTAACGATGTTTTTTGGAAGGAAGCGAAAGACTAAATCGGCGGATGAACAGCACTTGCCTCCAAGTTCAGGATTCTGTCAACTCATACAAGGAGCAATTCGGCCCAGAATATCACAAACTATATAATTTGCCGCATTTTTTATTTCTTCCCCTCAACGAAAATACTTGTTTCCCTATCTTGAATCCTCCGTAACTCAAATTAATTTGCTGGTTCCTTGAAATTCAACTCGAAGAGGTTTGACTGTGCGAGGGGTTACACGTTTCCGCGCGGACTCGCGGACTTGAAATGATCTGAACACCGGGGATGTTTGTTTAAACATTCTCCTAGGCAGACACCTTCTCAATGTCATCACGACCAATTTTTGCACACTTCTCAGCCCTTTCGATCCATGTGTTGAAACAGGCCTTGAAATGTTCGAATTTTAAAGCTTCCGAAGCAGAAAAGCAGCAACAAGCTAGCTCATCCGCGCGGAACCGTGTAACCCCTCGTATATGTTTTTTTCGTTTCTTAAATACCGTAGTTTATTTAATGAATCAAACGCATGTTTGCCGTGTTTTTATTTTCCTTCAGAGCGGATCCAAGTCGGTGACATTTCGGAAGACCGACGGCCGGTCGGGTGCGCGTAGTCACAACCGACACCATGCCCAGCAGCACCACCAGCAGCAGCAGAACGCGAGCGTGGCGGCGAGCACTGTGGCAGGCGCCGCTGTAGCGGCAGCCGCCACCGGCAGCCTGGTCGTTGGTCGGCGACTGTTGTGCGCAGACCCGGCAGCCGGCGGCACATTGAGCCGCCAGCAATCGTTGCAAGGCAACCCAGGCATCAAGATCGGGCCTCTCACTGTTCGAGACGTGGAAAGTGTCGCCGGGTTGAAGGGCGTCGAAAGCCTGGCCAGTCTAACCAGGGACTGTTTCATCATTCCTGCTGAGAAAATCGGCCGTTTCCTGCCTATCGGCATGATGGTGAGTTTTTACATTTCAATTCTTTTGCCTGGTGAGCGACTTTTTTTGATCCAATTTTTCCTGAACGAAAAAATAAGGGAGGGGAATGGGGAGCAAACGACCAATTCATTCATACGTAAGTGGTGCGAGGATGAATTCCGATTTTTTTAAAGGCCTAGGTGCAAATATTGGCCAAAACTATTATAGGCAAGATTACCATCATGTGGCCTGTTGATGAATATCTAGTCTAGGCCGTGGGAGACTTTTTCTGCTTCTGCCCATTTTTCTGGATATATGAAGAGGAAAATTCGAAAGCTCGAATCTTACGACTGTTACTATGGAAGGCCTTCTGGCTATTTATCTTTTTCGCTTTTGTCAGAATTGAGTGCAGTATTTTGCCCTGTTCTATGAATAAAGGGTTTTCGTGGAGCAGCAAGCATTGAACGCAATATTTGTTCAAAATTATTGGGTCATGCTGAAAACGGCTGTTCAGACCAGTTGAACTTATCGGAAGGAAGACATTTTTAAATTTTCATTTATGTTCATATTTAAAATTTTTGCGTTTGTTCCATGTCAATAAAAGGAAATGGAGCGCTTTATTGCCACTGAAGTTGATTTTTTTTAAAGACGAGCCCTGGTTACAAATCGCTAGTCTGACCAGTTTACCGAATGGGTAAAATATTTGTTATCTCTGTTCGTCTCGCCTCTTTTTTTAAATCTTCGCTTTCTTTTGATAAGGAATGAAGGAAATGATTTGCGGCGGGGCAAGATTGAATTGTCAGTCGAAAGCACAGGTTGAAAATATTGTTCAATCAGCTTTACATTTGATGAATGGATTCTTTGATTCTTATTTATATTTTCCCCATTTCGAAAACGATTTTTCTTTCTTCATGCTCTAATAATAAAATTGGATCATGTTTGGGGATGATAAAATGGATACCCCAATTGCGAGCACGGATTATGAGTACACTATTCTTCAGGCGTGGTCAAGTGGTTGGGAATGCGTTTTAAAATATGATCAGTACTTCTTGATGTACTGCTGTATTATGGCAAGAAATAATTCCAGGAATAGTTGTCGAACTCAAAGGGCAGCAATGTCGGGTATGACATAATTCTTAAGTACACACTCTATCCATGGCGAGATTCTGTGAGTTACACAAGATGTTCATTCAAAACTCCCAACAGTCGTTTCGAAGTACAATACAGGTACTGTACTGTGAAAAATGCGGCGGTCTTAGAGGCCTTTCCGCCATTCCGACCATTTGAAGATGATTTCCCCTGCGATGAGATTCGCCATCTTATTTTTTAGGACTCCGATTCTTCCTGGGGGTCAGTTTACCCTGGAGTAGTATAGGCCAGTGTTCCCCAATCGGTGGTCCGCGGACCGGCGCCGGTCCGCAGAAGTTTTGCCGGTTCGCAGGACATTTTCTGCGGCATAATAAATCGAGAAAAGTAGCAATGAATCTGTTATCTTCTTATGAAACCTCATTAAAACGAGGGTAGCTGAAGTTATCTTTAAAAAATACAATGTAAGTTGGCTTTTCTGTCAATTAAACTTTATACAGATTTCTACATGCTAAAATAAATTATTTTACTTTTTCAGTCTTAGAAAACTTTCTTCAACCCCACCTCTCTAATTCTTTGAAAACATTCCACTATATTGAATATTGCTTCATTGAATCTTAGTTTTGAAAATAAAATTTTTAAATGTCTGCATAAAGCTTCCAAGTAGAACTTTTAAGTCTTCAAAAAGTCTTGCTGATCTGCAGAAAATGTTTAGGAAATTTTCCGGTCCGCGGGCCCGAAAAGTTTGGGGGACACTGGTGTAGACAATTTCCCCAATTCAGGTTAAACCAGCCACTCGCTTAACGTTCGAATGCCATGATTTTGCTATTTTACATTCATGCTTTGCCATTTTTTTCTATGCACTGTTCTGACGCAAATTTTCGAGTGCTGTAATTTTGGACTTTTATTTTGTGAGGAAAGGATTGCTTTTATTTTTTTCTATTCTGCTCCTATCCTGAAAATTCGGAGGAGAATTGCTAAAAAACTTTTGCTATTGATCTGAAAATAATTGGATTGTCCATGAATTTCGTGAATATCGAAAGGGATGAAATTTAGATCGACGCGTTAATTTCGTACATCCGACGTAACGAGTGAATGTTTCGTTCATTCGATCTAGCCAAGGAAATTCTTTTTGAAGGCCTTCGTGACGGGAATAACCCCTTTTTCTTGGGGCTTCCGACATTGACCATCCCAGCACGTATTTTTATGTCACGAAAAATCCGCAAGTATTTGAGTCTGGGTCCGTGGACTTCGTCTCTTGGCCCTAGAATCTGTGAGAACGAGGTCAGTTCAAGGCCTGCGATGAGAGCAACCAACTCTTCCGAGGAAGATAATCTCAAGGGCATTCGTTCGATAAAGTCACCAGCAAGACTAATGTTTTTTTGTTTAAAAAAATAGTATGAAGTTTTAATTTCAAAGATTGGGCCAGTGAAATCCACGTACTGTTTTCACGTTTTCCATCGAGCAAGCCTTTGCGATTAGAAATCAAAATCAGAGACGCCCGTGTTCAATCGAATTGACAAAATTTGAAGATCACTAAAAATATACATTCATTTCCTTGAGAATTTGCGGGGCCTTTTGCCTTTACGCTGAACTACGCTCAGCGTGTACATGAGATTCGTTATAAATCTTGCTTGAATACCGTAAAGTCGACGCAAAACTTCACAGAAAAGGGTCACGCTTGCGCAAAAACTTTTACCTATGAGTTGGCAAGAATAATGAGGTGTCTACCGGAAAACCCCCTTGAATCTTGCAGTCCTTCATTTCCAGTTGATGCGAAGTACTGTGGAATGAAGTCAGTCCTGACTTTTGAGTCCCAGACATGATGTCCGAACTTTCAACTTTTGTAAATGAAAATTATTTCCCTATTTATTTGAGCAAATGCCGAGAGAAACTGCATATAGACAGGGTCCAGCTTTTTTAAAGTAATTTTTCAAAGGGGGTGGGGGGAAATTGAAAGTAGAAGGATACCCCTCAAAGAATTTTAAAACCACCAAGTGATACTAAATGCATTTCTCATCCTTCATTGATCCTTGCAGAGATTCAACTGTCTTTAATGTGTGGCATGAAAATCCATAAATTCCGAAGCATGGATCAGCAAGGCTTCACCGTTCAAGGAAAAATTTGGAATGGATCGCCCTTCGGTTTGAAGGAAAATCAATGAAGTCCCAGTTCGACTGTAAATGTGTTGAATTTTATTTTTTATTTTATTTCAAGTATGAAAAAATATGGGTTCGAGTTGAACTGATCGTTTCGGGATCACGTACCAAGAAGTTCAAGTGCCCCCTTCGGGACCCATTCGAAATCGGAAGTTCCACTGCGACATCGCGACTCCTCCCACATTTGTCTCACGCGCTATCCTCGTGTATACCAACTCTAAAATTTATTCGTCTTATTTTCTTGGAAATCTCCCCCTTTTTTTTTCGCACAGGGACAGTTCCCCTCTTTGTCTTCTGAATGCTGGGGTTCTGCATGGAACCCGTGCGTATAATAGCGGGATACAGTAAATTCGAGAAAGAGAAAGAAAAATGCGGTCCGGTGCAAACGCTAGAAAAGAGAGACGCTTCATTTATCATTTAAGCAGGCGAGCTTCTTGGCTCTTTGCTCGACTTGTTTTCTCCATCTCTTTTTTCCTCGCTTCTGAATTGCCAGCAGTTTTTCTGTACTGATCCGTCCTCACAGAATACTGACTCCAGGATATGTTCATATGCGTTGTATTTTTTTTTTCACTCTGGAAGTTTTGCGATAATTCGTCGTGTAGTTTGAGCCGTTCGACACGTGCCATGTTTCACAAAATGAAGCTCTGTCGCGATGAAAAATTCATTCGACTCCGTCAACGCTTGCATAATTTCCTTCACGTTTTCTATCAGAAGAGGCACATCACAAGGTATACCTTCGCATCCGACGAGGAAACAAAATTATTTCTGCGACGACCCAAAATATCAAAAGAATATGTGCTGTATATGTACTATTCATTCAAATTCCGAATCAAGAAAAAAACACCTCTGAATACTTAGTCATTTTCTCGCGACTTTTCGCATCTTTCAACTGAGACTGAATTTTTTACTTTGAAAAAATAACATGGATCCATTGGCATGCATTATCATCTTTTAAAAAAGGCATGCAGAAATATATAGTGCGAAAAAAGAGAGCTACTGTATTTTAATTTTGAGAAGATAATCACGGTTTTAAAAAAAGGAAATACAATGTGGAAGAAGTGATACAGTATTCAGTTACGAATTGGAAGAAAATTTGAACTGACATTTTTTCAAGGTTGAAAAAATTAAAATTCTGCAGAGGAAACATATAAAAAATTTCCGCGTTTCGATTAGTGACCATATGATATTGATTTGTGATTAGCCATGGTGGTTTTTAAATACCGGAGAGAAATATTATGAATTACATCGAAATCCAAAAAAAATTATTCTAATGTCCTGTGGAATTTGAAAAGTTGGAAACAATAATCTCTGAGGAAGAGGAGATGAGAATCTTATGCCCGTCTTGTCGTGAATTTCAGCAAAGCGGATTTTGCACCAAAAAACCTTGCGAAATGCATGATCAAACTGAAAAATTACAGTAATGTGAATAATGAAACGAAATCATCCTCATTTTTGCTGGAAAAAATGTTTACCCGGAAACATTCGTGGGTATCAAGAACTGTTTTCCAATTACGAAAAGAAAACGAACATTGTCTAAATCAGGAAATGGTGAAGAGAAGAGGTTGTAGAAAAGGTTTTCTTCACCTTCAAACAGGATCAAGACCGAGGACGAAAGAATAGCTTTCTTTTCATTTTTTTTTGCACTGCGTTGGCAAGCACTTGAAACTTCTCGAGCATCTGCCACAGAACGTTTCCTGTGCGATTTGCGTGCGAAGTTTTTCGATTCCCTTTCGCATCCTTTTCGACTGCATTAAAAGTGCTGAACAGCTTTTGAGTTCATCTTCAATGATGGGTTCTGTAACTTTTGTAATTCTGTCAAGTGTTGATTGAACGGAGGTCGATTTTTTTCATGCAGGCGAAAAATAAATAATCAAGCATTTGCTGCAGTGTCTGTTTCTTTCTTCTTCTTCTTTTTTTTTTTTAGAAACAAGCGTACTGAAATTCTTTGCTGCGCAATTTCACTGGTATCACACACAAATTTATGAATTTTCCGAAGGTTGCCGACGCCTGAAAAAAACTCTCATTCTGTCCTGGGTTTCCAGAAAGATGATCATATACAGTATTTCAAAACGTAAAACTGAATAGCACAAGAAAATAAAACGAATTCATCAGAGAACGCTTCCGATTCCATCATATTAAGACAGATCTTGACGGAATAGTC